CTGTGAAAGGTACTATAGATTGGCAGAAGACAGCAGGGAAGCAGTAGGAAAGTTGTGAGTTTCAGCATGCTAAAATGAAACTACATTTTTTTCTTCTTTAAAAAACCCACATCTGAAGGTTACAAACCATATGCAGAGCCTCCAACTCTTTTGCTTTTGGCCCCAAGGCCTCATCCCCATCATGGTAACAGTTCCTGCAGCACACACTGGCTCTGCCCCTTTGCCTCTCCAAATTCTGGAAGGTAGCCTCCTTTCGCGTGTCTAAATAAACAGAGAATTTCAGCATTTCCTTGAAAAAGCCTACTGAAGATACTTCAGAGATAGAAAGAAAAAGAGTTCCAGAGTATAAAACTATGGGCATCAGGAAAGAGCAACAGCTTGGCAGTGCTTCTTGGAAAAATTCATCCCAAATAGCCGATCCCAAGCAGGGCACTGCTTGTAGGCTTGTTTGCTGCCCACAAACATGAGCAACAACTCTCAGAAATTTACATAAAGGCACGAGGGCTGGGCAGACACTGGGCCTGCGCGCAGGACTCAGACTCACAGCCTGGGCTGAAGGCCTTCGGTGCAGGTGGGAAAGGTTCCTGCAGAGCCCTCCATCCTGCCAGGTGAGCCCTGGATCATGCAGACACTCGTACTCACCTTGACTTTGGAGGTGGCGGAGGAGGTGAGAAAGCCTCAGTCCCATTTCTGTCCTTGGGGAACTCAAAGGCAAAAGAGGCCGATTTGCTCATTCCAGTTCCAGCTTTGTCGTTCTGCCCAGAGGAGCTGTCTGTGGGGCAGAGATGGTGCCAGGTAGAGGAGTTTGAGGGGGTCGTGGTGCCATTTTCCACCCTTCTTCCCCAGCCCTGACTCAGCAAGTCCTGCTCCACCTCCTCCTCTTCCTCTATCCGGCACTGACGACTCCAGGCCCCAGCCTGGTGCCGGGGCCGCCTCTGGTCCAAGGCTGGGACAGTGGTAGCAGGTGGGGGACACTTGACAGAGTCGTGGTTGGCGACGCCATTGGCCCGGCAGGAAGAAGTGGGGTCAGTGGGACACCTGGATGAAGGCTGGGGCCCAGTGCTGCCACCTGAGCTCCCTTCGCTGAGGTCGGACAGTGGGGAGGTGGATGGTGATACCGGAGACCCTCCGGGGCTGCCCCTGGACAGCTTGGGAGGAATGGCAGGCCTCCCCTTGGGGATGTTCTCACTCACATCATGACGGTGGCCTTCCCTGGATCTCGTCCCCTGCCCAGCTGAAGTCTCCTCGTGGCCTGCCCCAGAGTCCTGGCTCACAGGCTGGCGTGCCCACTGCACGCCCACCGAGGAGTCTGGGCTGCTCAGGTAGATTGTCCTGTGGTCCTCTTTTGGGTAGGCCGCCATGACTGTGATGGTGGCCGCCACCTTGGGGGCCGCATCTGGGCCTTCCCTGTCCTGGCCCCAGCCAGACGCTGGTTTCTGAGCCCAGTTGTTAGCCGTCCTTACTTGGCCCTGGCCGTGTCCCTGGCCCTGGCTGGGGGTGCCTGCTGCCTGCTCAGCCTTGACCTGTGGCCTGGAAGGCGCCGGAACCGCCTTCTTCCTCTTGGTGCTCTCAGCATAGATGGGTTCAGGCTGCACAGCCTCCTTGGGGTGGGGGGGCACCTGGGGCTCCCCAGCTGACCCAACACACCTGCTAGAGGTCACCAAGTGGCAGCCAGAGTCCTGCTGCTTCCGTGGCACAGGTTCCTTCACAAGGGAGCAGTAATCATTATCGAGCTGGGGGGCGAAGGGGCTGCTGGTGCCGCTGCTGGCACTGCCGCAGGAGAGGCCATCCGAAGAGCTGGCAGCCTCAGAGGGAGGGGACAGCTTCTTGGGGCCCAGATGGGGCTTGTTCTCTGTGGGGCCCTGGCTATAGCACTCCTTTTGGAAGCTTAAAACCTGCTTCATATCCTCAGCTGGCCCCGCACACATTCCCTGCTCCGAGAATGTTGGAGAGCCGTCCCCTGAGCCAGGTCTGTGCTGCGGTCCCTCGGCCTGTGACGTGTCCTTGGCGGCAGGGACCCTGGGGCAACAGTCCAGGATGGAGCAATATTCTCCCCCTTCACTGTCCCCGGAGGGTGAGCACCTTTGATCGCTGTCATCCTCTGAGGGCAGGGGCTCCCGCAGGGGGTGTGGAGAGGGGCAGAGCCCAGGGCCCTTGGGACAGCCAGGTGGCATCCCGCCAAAGGCAGCCAGTTTCCGGTGGAAGCTGTCCTGAGTGGAGGTCAGCTCTTGGTGGGGAAACGGAGGTTTTTCTTCTCGCCCAGCCTTCTCCTCGGGGAAACTCAGCGGGTGGAAGGCGGTGTTCCGTTCCCCCCGCGCCCCGGGGCTGTGCAGGCCGACCATGGCATACGCCGGCGGGCAGCGAGGGGGGCCGTCCGGGGAGGCAGGGGGGCCGGCAGGCTTCTGGACGCCGCGGAAGCTGCCCAGGTAAACCACTGGCACATCTTCCTGCTTCGGGAGGGGGAGCTTGCCGGGGGTCCGTCTCCAGATGACCTACACAGCCCCAAGGTGAAAAGACTTACATTAGACCTTGTCAGAGAGAAAAAGGGAAAGAGAAACAGTTGGCAGGGAAGTGCTAAGGCACTGTGAGCAGTGTTCCCTGCGCAGGGCAGAGGCTGGGCAGCACGCCTACCTTCTGATCTCCGCCAGCCCTCCCCTCACCGCTGGGCCCGTGCAGCCACTGGTCTTCCCAGACACTGAGCTGCCCTGCCCACCCTGGTCTCTCATTGTTTTGGCTTAGGTCTGTGAAGTTGGGGAAAAATCACTCTAAAAAGAACGTTTTGCCTTCTCCCGCGACACTGCGGGATGAGATAACTTCTCCTATTGGCTTTGAAAAGAGAGTTTTTTGTTTTGTTTAATTTTTGTGTTTGTTAGTCTTTTGATAATTGTGTCATGGTACATTCCTGAAGAAACCAAAGCCATAAGGCTTTTGAAGACACCTTGGGTGAGTCGTGGGGGCAGGGGGAGGAGGTTGAGGGTGGCTTCTGAGTTGAACCATGAGAAAGAGCTGCCAGTTACAGGCAGCAGCCTCAGCGTGGGCCTGCGTAGGTGGCTGGAGTAGCTGAACTACGAGACAGAAATGTGAACTGGTCATTCTCATCAATGAAGTCACTGTCCCCTCCTTTTCCCCTTCTAGGACTCCCCTGACCCCCACTTTTAGCAGCAGCCCCAAAGTAGGCCCTCTATCTGGCTCTTTTCCAAGATGATTCTGAACAGAAAAAGTCCCTGGCTTATGTCTGTGAAGGTTGACCTGGTGAATGGATGTAGCCAGCTCACCAAAAATAGAGCAGCCCTGAGGGGACATGGAGCTCACTGCCATCAGAGCAGATACCTCTCCTCAACCAAGCCTCCCCTGGCTTAACGCTGACCTCTGACTTCACAGACACTCACACACCCTTCCTGACACACACTGTGATGGTCTGGGAAAACCGAAACAGGCAGAGGTCAAGGAGTTCACAAGCATTTCTTAGAAAATGTCCCAGACGTCCAGCCCCGTAGACATGTCTGGAGGCAGAGAGCTGTCCGTGACCTCTAAATAATTATGCCTTTGCAAGCGTAAACTGTGGAATGAGCAAAATGGTCTACTCTCTAGGGATGGAAGTGTTTTACTTAGTGATCCTAAGCCAAAGCTGGTAAAAATCCAAGCTTCACAACTGGAGATATGAACACTGGCTTGGAATGAGATGATATTAAGGAATTGCTGCTAACATTTTTAAGTGTGATAATGATAATGTGGTTATAGTTTTTAAAAGACTTCATTTTTTTAAAGACATACCAAAGTGATGCGATGAATGGGTCTGCTCTAAAATCATGAGAAAAGGAAACAAGATTGGTCATGAGTTGATTGCTGACACATGCTAAATCATGGTGGATGCATGGAATTCGTCACACAATATTGCTCTTAATGTACACATTTAAAATGATTTAAAAAAATCTTAAAACCTTTTTTAAAAAAGCTTCCTTTTGTGTGCCCTGATATTTATCCAAATAAATAATGAAGACAGTCTCCAGGTAAACTTCGAGAGGGTGGATTAACGGTCGTTAGCCTAAAGGAACAGATGAGAAGGAGAGTACCAGTCAGGAAAGGATGGTCTTGGGGCAAGGGAGTCTTGCTCTAATAGCCCTTCCTGGCTGCCAGCCAGTCACCAAGTGTTACAACTGAAGCAGCCCCTGTGAAAATGCCACAGGGGTTACTCAGGCTCACCTGCGAGACGTCGGAGCTCATGTTCCCCTCTGTCCACACATCAGAGGCATCGGAGCTCAGCATGGTGGGCTTCACGGCAATGGTGGGCTTGGAGTAGGGTGAGCTGTTCACACCTTCATCTTCCAGGCGGCAGTGCTCAGGCCTGGGGGGCAGGCGAGGAGGGGGGGGCAGACCGCCTGCTCTGGGCTGGGGACAGCTGGGCAACAGCTGATGGTCACTTCGCAGGCAGAAGCAGTTTTTGCAGGACCCGGGCTTCCAGATGTGCTCCACAAAGTCACTGCACGCAGACATTTTCAGGCTCTCGGGGTTCATTCGGATGGTCTGGTGCATCTTGGGCGGACAGTGCGTGGCTGGTTCATCCTGTACCCAGCTCTCTGGCGTGGTCTCGTGGGAGGCAGAGGTGGGTCACAGAGAGGCTTCCTGGAAAGAAAGAACACTGGCCTGATCAGAGACCTCCCCACCAGAGGAGGGTCTAACTCTCTGATTGGGGAGGAGAGGGGGAAGGAGAGGGGGAGAAAAAGCTAAAGATTAGAATTCCAGTTATTCCCAGGTGCTCACCCATTTCTCATAAGGCTCTTAGTCACTCGCTCGTGGTGTGGCCTTATCAGGAGCTATAAAAACTAAACGCAACTCTGTTACGTGAGTAGAAAGCATAAAAGACATTTCAGCCCCTGAACCTTCTTAGCACCTGGAGGTTTGGGAGCAGTTAACCAGAAATCACACAGATGAGAAGCCTGTCATCTCATCCATGCATTCCCTGCCACTAGGGGTCCAGAGCCTGGGACTCTGTCCTTAGAGAAACACGAACTAGGAACAGTACAGCAAGTGAATGAAACAGTGGCTTCCGGGGCATAAGCCACAATTTTTAACCAAGAACTAGGTGAGTGGGGAGGCAAGTCTGGGCCCTGAAATCAGCCTCTAATCCTTACTTGAAACCAGGCAGAGACAGAGGGGGTAAGAAGGGGGGGAGGTGTGGTGCTGACCTGCCCCCACAGGGGACCCTTGTCAGGAGGTCTGGCATCCTGGGAATTTACCTCCCTCCCCTGCTCCATATACATCACTCAACCGGGTGCTCAGTGAGGTCAGTCAAGCTGAAGCTGCAGGCCAAGGGGAAACAGAAATGCACAAGCACAGCAGTGCTGTGGTCTAGGGGTGGCAGGATGGGATACAAGGGAAGGAGGAGAGGATCACACAATTTTCCCAGTGCTAACCCTGCAGGTAAAGCAGTCAGCTGGCTGAAAGTTTAGTTGCCTCTGAGAGTAAAACTGAAAGCAGAGAGTTTGTATCACAGAACCTAGTACATTCACCACTGAGGAGGAGCTCAAAGGGCTGCAGATATTAACCAATTAACTTGAATCACACCCTGCCAGGTAGCTTTTATCCCCTTTATAAAGATGGAAAAACAATGGCAACCACCTAAACGAAGACTTGTCCACAGACACACAGAGTGTGGTGGTTCTGGAAAGAAGAGCGAACTTTGCTGGCAGCGCCTCAAAGCCATGTCATCGGTTAAACCAGTGGTTTTCAACCAGTGTGCAATACCTGACTATTTAGTTAGGGGCACTGACCTCTTTTCCCTTAGATTGTCCAAAAATAAAAAATTAAAAAAAATGACAACAGCCAGCACAACAGCCATCCAGTGTGAGTGAATCAAAATTATACCTATTTTTTGGTCAAATTGGCAAAAATATATTTTTTGGTGTGCTGCAGAAATTTAGTAATTAGTTTACGTGTGCCATGAGATGAAAAGGGTTGAAAATCACTGGGTTAGAATGAAAGCTTTTCCCCTCATTTAAATAAACGGACTTCCTCATAAGGTGCCTGTTCATGAGAAAATAATCCTTAAGAACCCAAAATGAACATATACTTATTAAACAGGCAGGGTTTTGCCCTAGGGTTTGCTCTCCACTTTCTTCCCATGAGAATCTGCTTTGAGGCTGATGTTCTCTAAACTATCAACAGGACTAACTAGGTGGAATGAGCCAGGTGTCCCAAAGATCATTCCAGAATCTTTGTGGGAAGTGCCATCTTTCTGATCTCCCACACTCACCGACAGGAGTGCTTATTCAACAAGTGCTGGGGCTAAGTCTGCCTCCCTTCCCTCCAAAGTTCACCTGGAAGCCCACTCACTGCATCTTTAAGCTAACAGAACACTCTGAAATAAAAGACAAATATTTGTCTTTCAGCAACCGTTGTTAGGACAGCATGCATCCAGCCCTTTAAGATGATTGCAGGCTAGGTTCCTGTCCCTAAGTGTGCCAGAGCAGCGGCTTCATCCCCTGCCAACTTGCCCAGAAGAGGTCACTAAGCTTCAAAAAGCAAAGGATAGCAAGGAGTTTTCTTTCTCCTACAATCTCAGGTTGCAGAGAGCCTGAGCTCTGCTGCTAAATTCTGGAAGGAGAAAAAGCAGAGGAAGCATTTTGGTGTTCAGTAAGTTTCCATACCCCTGCCCCAAGGTGGGGAGTAGGTCCTTTCTGGGGAGCTGATGAAGGCTGCCTTCCCGGCTACAGAAGAGGAAGACCCCCCCCTGAACAGCAGGCAGAGAGGCTCCTGAGTCCCTAGCTGGGCTGGAGGAAGAGAGCTTGGAACCAGTTCTGTATGGGCTCCATTCTTGTAGCCCCTCACGTGGCTGGGCTATCTGAGGGGTTGGGCACCCAACTACTTCCTCGGAGCTACCACAGAGCCACAAAGAAGCAGTTTGGGGTGCTCACATCTCACTTCCTCAATAGGCAACTGAGAGCACAAACTTGTTATGGTTGCTTGGTGCTGGGGGTCCCGCTCCTTTGTGGACCAAGGCCCACTCCAGCCCTGGGACTTCTGGCAGGCTCCGGATTACCAGCATGGGGGAGCTTCCTTCAGAACCCTCAGTTTATGAGCACTCTCTGCCTCCCATCCGTGGCTCTGCATTTCTCTGACAATGGGCAGACTTTCATCAATACCACCGCTCAGAGATGCAAAGGTTAACAAAGCCCTGGGCTCCTCACCATCACTGACTCACTGCATCCTCCTAAAACTGGTTTCTCAGTCCCAGCAAACAATTTACCACCGTGTCAAGCTAGAAAAGAGTCTTTTCCAGTTCTGTCCGTCTAGAGAGGACATGAAAGGATCTTGATTTGTTTCTTAAGTAAAAGATGGTGAAAAACTCTGAGTGGCACTTACAGATCAGGAGCCACGCCTCACCTACCAGCTAGCAGCTCTCCATGGCCTGGGAATGGCACCTTCCCAGCCCACATTCCTTACCTCTGAGAGAAGGCGGCCCCCAGAATTATGCAAATTCCCCCATTTCTGTGGGAGGCAGCAGTGTGAGACTAGAAAGAGATTTCAGCATTCTTTCTGATCCAAGTCATGATAAAATATCTTCGCCTCTGCAAACTTGTGCACTAGACTTGTGGCTACAATTTGCAAGACTGAAGCTGTCAGATACATCCCCACCTCCTTTAAAAAAGAATATGAAGAATGCTGGCCAGATCCAGATCCACAAAATTAAAGATTTTGGCTTAAAATATTGTCCCTCATACTTGCATCAAAAGTTGTTCATGCCTTACCCTGAAAAAACAGACTACCAGAAAACACTCATCTACAAAATTTACATATATTACAATGAAATTTATGCAACACTGGAAAAGAAAAATATGTATGCAAAAGGATCTAGATTTCAATAATCCACTGGCAGGGGTTGCCCCTGCAGAGAGGAGAAAGTGGCAACCTTAACACACACACACACACACACACGCACGCGCACGCGGTAAGTCCTGATATTCACCCAACTTTTAATTTTGTTTTCCTTCTCCAGTGCCACATAACCTGATCTCAGGAGTAGAAATGTGTTTTTCTGGGCGAACCCCACTACACCTAAACCATTACGAAAGATACAGTGTTCCACAAAACCCCACAATAAGAAAATAGCTGCAGAATTTCCCAGGGCTTCGCGTCCAATTTCATTTTCAAGAAGGGAAGGGTTGTTATCCTCCTCATGTCAGGCCCGTGATCAATAAGGTCTCCCGAACCTGACTCTGGCCAGGACTGACTGCAAAACAAAACCCGCCCCTAGCCCCTGGGGCTCGGCCGTCCCGGGGGCGCTGCGAAGCTACGTGCTCGCAGGCGAGGCTTCACCTGAGCGACTCGCTACAGCCAGCGGCTCTGCCTCCACTCGCGCTCCCAGGACCTGATTGCGGGGGGTTGTGTGTGTGCGTGGGGGGTGTCCCCGCTGGGGAGGGGGCAGCAGGAGCCAAGGTTAGGGACGTGCCCGGGGCATGCCTTTTCAGAGCGCTCCGCCATGGCTCAGGGAAAAGGCATCACCTCCCTCCCTCCCTCCGGAGACTCCGAGGCTGGCATCTAACCCGGTGCCCCCTGGGGGCAGCTACGACCCCGGGCCCCACACCATCACCCCCGGGGGGCCGGGCGTCCCGGGCGGCCTCTCGCTCTCCACTCCCTCGACGATACTGCCGCGGCGGAAAGGAAGTTTGCACACCGGCGACCCCAAAGCTCGTCAGTCCTGCCCCAAACGGAGCAGCGGGACCAGCACGACCGGCAGAGGACTCGGCTTCCCCGCCCGGAACTCCAAGGAAAGTTTCCCCGTTTTCCCGAGCGCAATTCTCGAATGAATTGAAAACACCCTCGGGTTCCGGCGGCTCCGGGCTCGGCGCCGCCACCTCCGGCGCAGCCCCGAGCGCAC